AGCTTTCTTTTTTTTTTTTTTACCTTTTTACTTTTTGCAATTTTATTACTTCAACTTCAACTTAATTTCAGTTAGTTGCCAAGGGAACATCTAATTTTTGTTCAAGCTTTTTAAGCTTTTCATCTAATATTTATATTTTAATTTATTTTCACCTCTTTTCAATTAACAAAATCGATTTTTCAGTTTTAAATTTCAGCATCCATTGTGAAGCTTTACTGCTCATTAATAATATCTGCATGGAAAAGAGCAGCCAGCATAGTCAGAAATAAAAATATCTCCTTTTGTGTTCCACAGAAGAATACAAGTCATATGGATTAGAAACTTCATGAGGGTGAGTAAATAATGACAGAAATGTTTTATAGTGTCTAATTTGCTGTATGTCGTTTGCAATGGGGAAAAAAACAGCATCTCTTACATGTTAAACCTGTACCAATCAACTAACTGCAAGGACATTTTGATAATTATTTGCTTTGTTTTGTTGGCAAGATGTGCACGTTAGCTCCATCCACAATGAAATCACACTCATTTAAGTATGTTCCAAATGGCTGGGATTTTGTGGCTTACAGCAACATTTTAGAAAAAAACAAACATGATTTAAGTGTGCAATGCCCAGTTAGGACAGAACAAAAAACAAGGTGGTGAGATGGGTGATATGACAGCGCAGGACATGCACAAAGGGAAATAGAAAAGCGAGAGTGCACCCTGGACAGAAATGGACGGTGGGAACTGACCCGCGGGGGCGTTTCTCTCTCATCCTTGTCCTCGTCACACTCGAATGCCACTTGCGCCCGCTGCTTGCGCTGCTCCTCCCACAGAGACGGGTTAAAGCTCTCGCTGTCTGAGTTGGGCACATCTGTCAGAGAGAAAAATCCAGAAAACCATTAACAAACAATCAAAACAACAACACTGCCATCTGTGGATGATGGATGACAGGGTCAAGGACCTCAAATCCTGTCTAGAGTTAGTTTTGATTCATTTCAGGGATTCAGTGTGTTTCTGGTTCTGTTAGATCGAATCATTAAAATACTAATGCAGTGTCTCTCAACTATGTGGATTAACAAACAGCAACATTTTTTGCTGCTGCCTGAGCTCTGTGGTCGGCCCAGACTTCACATCAATTCTTATTTGTGTTGTGTGCCCATTTAGCAAGACATCTGAGTTCAGGAGAGCGCTTTGTCCTGTAGGCACGCAGACGTCAGACCATTTCTAAAGCTCAATCATGCTAACAAACTGAAGCGGACTACAGAGAGCCGCAGCTCCAGTGCGTTTGCGTTCTGGAGAGTTTAGAGTGGGGTTGCTAGGAAACAGGTTAAGGCTTATTAATCTCTTCCTCCTCTGGAATCCAGCGTGCCGCCCATTTGTGATTTGCACAGCGAAACTCCCAGCAACACTGCAGACTTAGTCTCAGAGAGAGAAAACAGCAAGTTCTGGCTGCAGGTAGCAGACATTTGACGCCCAGTCAGGATTTTTAAATAAGTTTGAACGTCTATAAAACTATGTATTTTACAGACAGGTGCACTGATTTTAGTGACACATCAATATATTGGCTGGCCCGATTAACTGGTCCGTATTTAGTTATGTTGAGATTATTAGGTTAGCTGACAACTGTTGTTTTGTTTACATCATCACAATTACTGTAAAAATCTAAATGACAAATTAGAGATTCTACTCTGACACATAAAAAATTGTTTCTTGTTTCATTGTCAATGCTTACCATTGCCATAACACTTTACAATAAGGTCTCATTAGTTAACATTAGTTAATGCATTAACTAACAATGAGCCATGCATTTGTTACAGCATTTATTCATCTTTATTAATTTTAGTTAATAAAAATACAACTGTTCATTGTTAGATAATGTTAGGTCAGGTCCATTAAATAATGTTAACAATGACTACACTAATTCTCTTGCTAAACGCTAAGAAAATGCACCCCAACCATTTTGACTGATTTGGTTTTAAATTGATCTCACAGCTTGAAGCTTTAATAAAATAAAATTGTATTCCAAGTTTTAATGACGAGTTTGAGAAAGACATTAACAGTGAACTTGGAATATTGAAATTTACCAATACTGGGCGAATTTAATAAATTCTGTAAAAAAATAAATAAATATTCAGTAAAATTCATCCAGAACATCTTATTTGCTATAAATAAAATGTCAATAATAACAGCAATAATAATAATAATAATAATAAATACAAGTAATAAATAATAAAAACTATAATAATAAATACGAATTAATATCACGATCTTTTAATGCAAAATCACGATCACAATCTCTATGATTTGCTTGAAAAGTAGATCGTAGACATCTTCAAGATTGATCACGATATAAAATCATCAGATCTATCTATCTATCTGTCTGTCTCTGTCTACCTGTCTGTCTCTGTCTTTCTATATGCCTCTGTCTGTCTGTCTCTGTCTATCTGTCTCTGTCTGTCTGTCTCTGTCTCTCTATCTGTCTCTGTCTGTCTGTCTGTCTCTGTCTATCCGTCTCTGTCTCTCTGTCTGTCTCTGTCTATCTGTCTCTGTCTCTCTATCTGTCTCTGTGTCTGTCTCTCTCTCTATTCGTCTCTGTCTGTCTATCTGTCTCTCTATTCGTCTCTGTCTGTCTCTGTATATCTGTCTGTCTGTCTCTGTATATCTGTCTGTCTTATCTGTCTCTGTCTGTCTCTGTCTATCTGTGTCTGTCTGTCTCTATCTGTCTCTGTCTGCCTATCTCTATCTCTCTGTCTGTCTCTCTATCTGTCTGTCTATCTATCTATCTATCTATCAAACAAGGAAACTCTTGTGACAGGAGGGCATGACAGCTGCAGGTTCTGCATGACTAGATACTCACAGTCCTCAGCTCTGGTCTGTTGAGGCAACATGTAGTTAGTGAGTACGGTCTTGCGCGTCTCCGGATCCTCCTCTTTCTGCAGGGGAATGAGGGGCTTTGACTGAAAAAGACAAAAAAATAAAATACAGGATCAATGATTTGTAAAATTCGATGATATGCCTTGGGTATGACATTTCCAAACTCTCACACACAGCATGAGGACTCTGCCGCTCTGGACTGCTCTCATGATAGATTCAGGCCATGCAGCTCTGGCTTTGAACTCATCTCATCTTTAGTCAAATGCAGCTTTATAAAACCACACATCACAATCAATAAAGAACAGCATGCCACCTTCATCTTGCAGCGCAATCTTCATCAGCTGTCGATATTCCAGCTGAGAAATCCTTGCAGAGCGGTTGCTTCACAGAGGATTTTGGCAATGCCTTACCATATGGCTCATGCTGATTAGATGCGCTACCAGTGTTTTATTATTTCATAGCGGCGTTGTTCTCATGCATTCAGTTGAACTTGCTTCAGTTATTGTTTCCTTGAAAGCAAATATCACAACAACGTGGATTTCACTGCAATCTGACCCAGTGCTTGTGAGCATTGAAGTCATACAGGTTTGTAATGAAATGAGATATATATATATATATATATATATAATAACAGAAAGTGGGTGCAATGATATATTAATCAATTTATTTTGTGATTCCAAAGCATTTCAGTTTAGATTAATTTTATCTGTTTTTTTTATTTAACATTTCGATTATTTATATTTTAATATATGTTTATTATTTTATTTGAATAAGTGGTTAATTATTTTAATTATTTAATGAATTAATATTTTTTTATTAATTTAATTGTTATTTTAATAATATTGCATTAATTTCATTATTTATTACATGTAATTCTGCGGTCCTCTTGAGATTTTGCGGAGTATATTATATTATATTATATTATGGTCACAGTTTGTTTTAAGGTCCAATTATCACTAGTAACTACGACTTTTGCTTCAATAAACTCATAATTTGCTGCTTATTATTAGTAAGGTAGTTGTTAAGTTTAGGTATAGGGTGGATTGAGTGATCTAAAATATGGTCATGCAGAATAAGGCATTAATATGTGCTTCATAAGTACTAATAAACAGCCAAGACTGCAAGTAATATGCATGCTAATAAGCATAGCACTAGTTACATGATTGGATCCTAAACTAAAGTGTTACTTTATATTATATTATATTATATTGTAATATTATACAGAAATTTCCACAACTTCGTTAGATTTTATTAATTTCAAATGACTTGTTCACACCTTTAAATACTTGTTTTACATTTCTAGCTTTTCGACAAGCGTGGGAACCCTGTTCTACACAATAAATGTCCATGTATTTCATTATTTATTTAGAAAGTAGCTAAGTAGCTGTGTAATAAACAAGTTAATTTCCAGTCTGTCGGTCATTATCGCAACAAACAAATCAACCCTTCGCTTGTATTGCAGTCCTGATCACTCTGCTGGTGTTTATTTCACACTAATGACTGTATATTGTGCCTTGTGTATCTGAACTTTGCCCACCTGGTTTTCAGACAGCCACATTGCGGTCATCTGGTTGAGTTTAGTGAAGCTGTACGGAAGATTCTTCAACCTGCACAAAGAGCAGAAACTTGATTACTGTACGACAAATAAGAAACAAGTGAGAATGATAGTATGCTGAAATAAAATAAAAATGGGACATGATTTAATAAGAACACAGTCAATTGAGAAAGAGTCTGGTATAATGTGTATCAAGGCTTATAAATATAGCACAGGGAGCAGAAAATCCAGCTATATTTTCCAGCCTGTTGAATCACAGCCAAATGCGTCTAAGTGGTTCTCTCAGAAAAATGTCAAAGTAATGGCTCTCACAGCCACCAGCTGCGTGGCCAAGCTGGAAACATTTGTCACTGAAAGATTTCATACGTGAAGAGTGTCAACTGTTGGTTCATTTGGTTGGACATTTATAAAGAAAAATTCTTGTCCTTGGGTCAAAACAATGTACTAATTTGATTTCATAATATGACTTGAAAAAGGTAGTCATTTTGGATAAAAGTTAAATTATTAGTAGAAATTAGCAGGTGATGTTTTCGCATACGCTGCAGACTGTTGTGTGATATGATGCTTGGCAGTGTAATGCGGCACAGAGGCACGTACTTGTTGTCGCTGAGATTGATGACCTTGAGTTTCTGCATGTCGCCCATCTCCTCCGGCAGAGTCTCCAGCTTGTTTGAGTGCAGGAAGAGAACGGTGACGTTCTTCAAACTGCCCATCTGTCAGATGCACAAACATACACATGAAGAAGCACAGCCGATATCTACCGCGTCTCCTGGTCGATGCTTTGATCAGACTGCAGGATCGATGCGGTCGAGATTGAACCGTTTTGTATGAGTAGGAGTCGTTTTGACAGCAGCAGTGAGAGTTTGTTCAGATGGTTCATTTCAATTAACCAATTCAATATCTAATAGGGTAATACATGTCGCACTGGTTAAGCTAATTCCTAATCCTGACACGTTTCGCACAAAACAAGACTCACTGAAGCAGATGCTAATGGATATTATGTCTATACTTGCCTTTACAAAGCATTTGAAGGCGCTGCTGGTACTTGATGGATATATGTATGATAAACTCACGCCTCAATTGGACTATTTATTTAACGCGCTATCGATTGTGATACAACTTTCCAATGTTATGGACATCGCCAGCTTTGATGCTGTCGCTATGGTTACCTCGATGCGGTTGTTCGTTAATACAGGTATGTATTCATACAGTATTCAGTTTGTTCATACAGATATGTATTCGACTTCAATCTGCTGAATGAAGAGAAAGTTTCAAGACTCACACCTAAGCAAATGCTGTTGTCAGTCCCAAACAGTGGCTGTGAATGCAGCACGGACATTTACTGAGAGATGCCTTTTAATTCTCGCCACTTTATTTTTTCATGTTGGGATTGTTTTTATTTGTTAAATAAGTATTGCATGAGAAAATGTTTAAGTAAAACACTGAAAAATGTATGGCAGAGGTTACGGTTATTTATTGGTTAATGGTAAGGATTAATTGACTAATCAGAAGATAATAAATACATTTAATGTAAAAAAATAGGTTTATCTATTAATCATAAAAAATAATTAATAGATTAATCGATCATCAAAATAATCATTTGTTACAGCCCTAATATTTAATTAAACACTGTGTTTCCAGTAAGATCTGTGGGGCATTTCACATAATTTTTAATAGCAAAATAAATACTTTTTAATCACTATTTCCAATAAAAAGAAATTCTTAAATGTTGTACCATTTGAGTTTTACTCAAAAAAACGTTTTACTCATTCTTGGCTAATCCGTCTGGCTAAAAATCTGTTAAGAACGATCTGTTTTGTGAATGTTATATCTATTAAAATCAAACTTAAATCCCATCCTGCACTATTTTCCATACAATATTATTATTTTTTTTTTTTTTAATGCTTAAAATGCATGATATTACGGAAGTTAAACGCCATTTGATGTTGTCTTAAATAAATTGTGCCGGGACCGGACTGACCTCTGGAGGCATCTGTGTGAGCAGGTTGTGATCTGCAGCAAACGTCCACAGGTTCACACACTGGCCGATGGTGGACGGCAGCGCCTCGATCTCATTGAAGCTGCAGTCGAGCTCATCCAGAGTCGTGAGTCTACAGAGACAAAAAGATGCGCATGTGACATGCCAAACTGTTGTGCAACTGTTTATAAAGTTTTGCAAACACTGCAATAGTGCTGAGGAGTAACTAACTAAAAGTTTTGGATGGCGCTAAACCAGTGGATCTCAATCCTGGTCCTGAGAAATAGTCCTGAGAACTCAGATTCATTGTGAAGGCAATTAAACCAGCTGTCTGTGATCACTAGAGTGCTTATTCTGCCCTACACTAAAATAAATCTTTTCTGATCCCCAATATAAATTGTTGATGGAACTGGTTGGCAGAGTAAACGCGTTTTTATGCCAAAATGCCAAACTGTGGAATAAAATAAATGTGTGTGAGAGAGAGAGAGAGAGAGAGAGAGAGAGAGAGAGAGAGAGAGAGATGATGCAGAGCAAGAGAGACTGATCGTTGCTAAACTGAATATAACATTTACATCCATCTGATTATGACTTAACGACGCGAATCAATCATGTTGTGTCATATTTAAGAGATTAGGAATTAATGTGGTTTCTTCACTTATCTAAAATGGACTTGATGCCAGATTCATAATCTAAAAGATACAAAAAGCTCATGTAAAATCAAATGCTGTTTATAACTTATAACATAAAACTTCCCCAGTACAAAAAACAAAACAAAAATCTAACAAACAAAAACAAGAATCAAACAAAAACTAAACAAGAAAAAACAACAACAACCATTTAAAGAAATGAAGAACAGCTCGCTTTGGAATAGTTTTTTTTTCTTATGTTAGAACCCCAAAATACATGGACAGAAGTTTGGCCCACCAAAGTATAGTATATAATATAATATATATATTTACTGAGTCATTATAAATTAGAAAAATGCAGTCATATCAGTGTGATGGGAAAATACATTGAGACTAATGAAAAATTAGTCATGCTTAATCAGTGTGCTTTACAATCCTGGCTGGGATTAAAACAGAATTAAATCACATATTCATAATCCCTCCTGGCATATTTTCTTAACCCCGGACTAGGAAATCTAATCTGACATAAGGGATAACCGGCATGTTTGGAAACAAGCTCAAAGTAAGAGGTGGCGAGAATCAAGTACAACGGTTGGCTTCTTTTTTTGATGAATACCACAGTCTGTTTCTCTCTTTCTCTCTCTCACACACACACATCAAGCAAAGCAATCCCTCTCGGCGAGCCCATATGGATGTGCACTTCCCTCATTCACACACCCGTTACGAAGCCTTCTGTCTGTATCATGCAGTGGCTTATGGGTCTGCTCATTTACAGCATTCACTCAAACAAAATGTTGGTCTGGTTCTCATTTAAAACTACTGTATTATTTACTTGACTATTTTTCGTTATAATATGACATGGGCAAGAGTATTATTTCTCTGTGACTTATTGACATGCATCGTGAGGTTTGAGAGGTAATTTGTGACACTCGGTACTATCTGACTGCTTTCAGCTATCATTTAGCACTTGCAGCTCACGTTTTTTTAAATTTAAATCATTTCTGACATTTCTCACCACAATTGGCACAAAACATGAAAAGCTGGCTAATTTAGTGTGAGTACACTGATGGGTTATAGAGAACTAGGTCATGGTTTAGGCGCAGTTCATCAGGTTGCTGTTTAAAATGGCGCTCACTTACCTGCCTATCGTGTCAGGCAGGTACATGAGCTGGTTATCATCCACCTTCAGAGTGGTCAGTCTTTTCAGTGAGCCTGTGGAGACAGAGAGAGAGAGAGATTTGTATTGCAATTGGCAATTTATACATCCGTTCCATATCCACTTCACTCTAGACAATGAGACCATCAATCTCACCCATCTTGAAGAAATTATTAGAAATTGATTCACAGACTAAACACTTGCATATTCAGCACTTTCTACAGATAGGGTGCAAAAGTTCCCTTAAACTTTTCGTATCTCAAAATATGGTCAGTGAAAGCGTACGCTTATTTACTTGATACAGTTGAGATAGTCATAACCCAAAGGTGTAACAGGTCAGATTCACCATTTTAAAGGTGGTGGTCAGATTACAAACACCTGGTATTTAAAACTAGCTATTTAAGTTTTGTCTATGGTAGGTAGTTGCTAAATCTCAAAAAGTGTCCAGAAAAAAACAAAAAACAGTCATTGGACACCAAAGTGTGCCCGACTCGTGGAAAGCTCTTGCAACGAAAGACTTCGAAACCTCTGTGGCACTTTCTCTGAGCTCTAAACTGGATTCATGAAGTGTTGAGCCTCAAGGGCGGTGTGACTTGGCCACTTCAACACGCCTGCTCACTAGTGGCTGTCCGACTGGGTCATTCATTAAGTAATACGATTGTATTACTGCTCTACCCATAATCCTCCTGTTCATTTACACATCTAACCTGTTCATTTGTTACAAAGCAGATTAGAGTTGAGGCTGTTAGGAGGACATGCAGGATAAACCCAGAGACATCTGATCACTTTTAAGAAAAAAAAGCACTATGAATATTAAACATGAAGCTCATTTTTGTATTTTGCTGTGTGTTTTACCTATAGACCCTGGCAGCTGTGTCAAAGCGTTGTTGGACAGCAGTAGATCCTGCAGGTTTTCACAGCCAGATATCTTCTCCTCAACCAACTCCAAATTGTTTTTGGACACGTCCAGGTAGCAGAGTTGCTTCAGTGCCCCGATCATCTGCACACACATGACTCTCCATTTACTCACAAACAAATGACTTCATCCGTTTCTGAGAAAAGTTTGTGTAACTGAGCAATAGCGAGAGACGGGCTCCATTCAGTTTGAACATCTTGCTGTGGAAAAAATTAATTGATTTCAAATCTCAATTTCAGTCAAATATGGTGGGTGAAGTCAGAGCCATATACTTGTGGGCAGCGCTCTGACATATTGGTTTTTAGAGTCTAGACGGTTCCTCTGAAGGGAAAAATGGAGAGAAGTGGAAACGGGTGATTTGAAGAGATGGAGGGATACGGTTGAGAAAGCAGTCAAGATAGAGTCTAGACAGTTCCTCTGAAGGGAAAAAATGGAGAGAAGTGGAAACGGGTGATTTGAAGAGATGGAGGGATACGGTTGAGAAAGCAGTCAAGATAGATGAGTGAAGCCAAGCGTGAACGGACTCAATCCATTTCTCATGCTTGAGGGCAGAATGTGGGCGTGTCCTGTTCTCAAACACACTACCTTCTGTAGCTCCTTTCCAAGAACAGACTGAGAGCACTCAGAAATCCATCTAGACTAGTAATGAGATCGTCAACAACAATGCTGTGTTACCACAAACTTTTTCCGTCAAAATAAGAGTACAAGGGATAGGGCTCGGATTTCTAGCACAGGTCCAGTACAAACCTTGTGTTTATAGGCCATTTTATTCAGCAAATTTGGAGAGACTACAGAAAGGATGAGGATAAAGAAGTGCAATAGTTTATTCATGAATTAGTCAGTCAGTTTTTTTTTTTTTATTGTTGATTTTAAATGGATAGTTCAGCCAAAAATTTAAAAACTGCTGTTAATTTACTCACCCATCCAAGATGTAGGTGAATTTTTAGCCTTTGGTGATGCATAAAATGCAAGTCAGCGGCTACCGTCATTTGAGTCAAAAAAGCATATACAGGCAAAATAAAACTTATTTAAGAAGCCCATGGCTTCTTATGATTTACTGAGGTTTTATGAGGCAAAAAGATCGGTCTGTGCAAGAAACTGAACATTATTTACTACATTATTACCTGTAATCCAGATCCCAGAGCCTCTGATTCTTTTCTGCGAACTGGTTCTTTCAGGCAGTTAATTTCAATGAACTGGTTCAAATGACCGATTCACTAGTTTGTTTATGGAATCACGCAATGATGTAACATATACACAATTATGTTATTAAAGCACCCAATAATGATGAGAAACATGGATGTTTAACATGACTAAACCATATAAAATGAATAAACTAGTCTTTTAATCAATTCATCTTTCTACATAAACAATGAGAAACCATAAAAACTTTCATATGGCCCCTTCATTCAAGTGCTGGGTTCACGTATGTGCATATCACCTGCTCATCGGTCTTGGGTCCGAGTCGAACTGTTTCCTCAGTTCAGTGACTGTTGGAGGAACTGGAGCGCTGGATGGGTTCATTCATCATAGGATCAGATACGCCGCTATTTTGGCTCATTTCAAGTCGGAGTGACTGTCAGGCATCTGAAAGCTTTGATTGAGTGACTTGTAGATCTGTGCTGCTCGAGCCGCAAACTGTTTCAGATGGTTCAGTCCAATTTGGTGAACTGGTTCATCCAGTTCAAAAAATGATTCATTTGCGGACCAAGCCATTTGCCCGAGGCTCTGGATCAGAGGTAATAATAATGTTGTAAATACGGTTCAGTTTCTTGCACAGACCGATTGATTCGCTTCATAAGACCTCAATATGTCGTCATTTTGTGTCCTTAATATGCTTTTTTAATTCTCAAAGACAGGCAGCCATTGACTTGCATTTTATGAATCAGCAAGGACCACCATTTCAGCTAGAAATCTTCTTTACTGTTCTACTGAAGACTAAAAGTCTTAACAGCAAATTTTTATTTTTGGGTGAACTATCTCTTTAAGGGAGCATGAGTAATACTGCACAGGACACAGGCATCTTGAACTTCAGATGCACTTGGGTGAAGACCAATTAGAAGCGATATGGCCAAACTGCAATCAGCGCCCGTGTGCGACTTTGTGACAAACCCTGCTGTTGATTAATCACCACGAGTGAGAGCCGTTCTTCTGGGTGGGGCGTAAGAAGCTTAATCAAAAGCACTAATAATGAGAGAGAAATTGAATTCTGCAAAGAGAGAAACATGTTGCGCAAGGACATGCCATCATTAAACTGGTCTCAGTGGTCAGAGAGGGAAGGAGGTCAGGGTGCCGTCCTCATATCCGGGCCATTTGGAGGACAGTTTTAGCAGACGTGTTCAAAAGGATGTTCTGAAAACTCCTAATCCAGCCAGGCCCACAATTACTGTCAGTCTGCTCTCAGCAGCAAGCTAATGCCTTAATTACGACCTATTTAAAAGGAGCTGACAGTCTGAGGAGAAGTACAGGGATCCTGAAGAAATGTTTAGGAAGTAGATTTTCTCCAGTTGCTATGGATGTCTACTTGTCTAAACTCCATTATTTCAATGCACCCGTGACAAAAAGCAGCTACGTAGTAGAAAAATCTCATTCCTCATTCATGAAACATCAGCAGAAAAATCGACTGTGTAAAACTTTCATTAAACTATTCAGCCTCAATGCAACAAAAGCAAGCATTCCACATTAAACTTGAATTCAACAATTTACACATTAAAGATTTTACAAATGATAAACATGGAAATTATTTATTCTTATGTTTCAGAAATAGTGTAGAAATTAGCTCAATTTAGCATTTTACATGAAAGCTACGATTTTCGTTAGAATGGTTAAATGAATGATTTACATTTAGAAATGTGTTGTTTTTTTATCTCATTCTTGAAACACGAGCAGAACATTACATAAATAATTTTTTAAGCCATTTTTATGTTGCACAACACGTTACAAGTAATGATTTTATGGCGATTTACGCTGTATAAAATTAGCTGGGATTTCAAGTGCAACATGAACAAAATTCACATATAAATAGTTTAATGAACAGGTAGCTCAGTTTAACTAGTGCAATAATTGTTTTTATGGGCGATTTACATATAAATAAATTCAATTTAGCGATTAGCGAATGCAAAATTTTTGTAAGAATGGTTTCAGAAATAAATTCCATTTAGAGATTAGTTTTACCAAAATCGTAATAATTCGTAAAGCCACTGTTATGTAATCTTTTGCAAGCAATAATGGTTTTATAGTGATTTATACTGTATAAAATTAATCTAGAAATTCACATTCAGCATGATTGCAATTTACCAAAAATTGTTTAATAAATGGTTTTCTCAGCTGATGACGCTGCCGTCAGAGGTTTGGCTCGACATGCAGCGGCACCGTCTCAGTCTCTGTCCGGCGCGGGTGAAATAATTATAATGCTGAAGGTGAGGTACTCACCTTCATATTTCTTCATTAAATAACTTACAAAGTAATTTGAAAACCTTGTGTGAGACGTAATTTCACAAACAGCGTTCCCCTCTCTCTCTTTCTCTCTCAAAATACGCAAATGGCTTCAAATCACCACACATCGCGTCTGTCTATAAGCGAGCTGCACGCTGCACAGTCGACGCAGGAATTTTCACTTGCACAATCAATGCAGTGTCACATCGTCACTAAAGTTTATAAATTGCATTTATTTTTAATTCTTGCCAGTGTTTAACCATTCAGTGCTCGCTCACTCTTTTGGAGACCGTGCGCTCATGCACACTCGCAGTGCACACACATAATG